TAATCATATTAGATTGTTGCAAAAAACTGAAATTATACTCACACTAAATACAAAAAATGATAATAGTATGAGAGCAGAAGGTTCAGGAATAAAATCAGCAATATTGTAGGAGTTTAGACATAAAGCCCTCATGAGATGCAAAAAAGGAATGTCTTTATTTAATAAAAAAAATGCAAAAAAGAATGTGTTGATAGCATCTGGACTAGAAAGGGATATAAATTGGTTCTTTCCAAAAAGATAGTTAACAAAGCTGTCCCTCAAACCGAAATGAAGTTTTGGTGACAAAGGGATGTGAAGAGGAAAAGAACAGGAGCTAAGAAGTGGTCAAATGGTTCTAGTTAGTCAGTGGTCTTTAATTTGATACACCCTGATCCCATTTATTCAGTTGTGGCAGAAATCAAAGAGGAAGCTTATGAGGAGACTTAGATAAACTGTAACACCTCGCCCATCATTGTAGTTAATTTGTATTTGGAAAACCCTAATTATTCGGACGGGAAGGCCATACTGAATTCATTTATTTTATTCAGCAGTTTATCATCGTAATTCGTAAATTATGCCGATTTTTATTTTGATTTTAATTAATTTTAGTTAATTTTATTTTAATCTAATTATTTATTTTTAAATGAATTTCAGAAAAATAGAAAACGGGAGAAAATCTCATAGGAAAATCCCGTGAGGAAAGGCTACCCACGCGGGCGCCCATGCGCACAGTGGGCACGTCCCATCTGCATGCGCAGCGCTGGGTCAATCCTGCGGCATCTTGTCGCGCGCAGGCGGGCCGTCCACGCGTCACCTCGTTCAGGGATAGGCGCCGCACACTGTGTGCGCGCCATCCGCGCAGCAAGCTTGCGCAGATAAGCCCATGCGTGCCTGGGGCCCGCGCGCAGTAGGCCTGTGCGCACGGCACCCAACGCGTCTAGGCCCTACGTGCATGATAGGCTAGCCTTGCAGCGCGCCGGGTGGGCGAGGCCATTGCCACCTCGGATATTGTGCTGCCACCCACCTCAGGCAGTGTGCCGCTGCTCCTGGCACTGCCGCTGATGGAGGAGGTTTTCCTCCATTTTTCGTGCTGAACATTTTTTTCTCTCTTTACTAGATTTTGCCACTTGGCACAAATCCAATGGTCCCTATTTTCTATAAATAGGGGTTCTTCCTTCTTATTTTCTCCACACTTCCATTATTCCACTTTTTAAGAATTATAGAGAGAGAGAGTAATCTAGAGAGATAATAAGAGGAAGAAAAGAAGAATGGTGTAGAAGAAATTATCGAGATTTCGGTAAGAAATTTAGTATTTTTTTAAACGGTTTAAGATATATTTTTAGACAAAAAAAATTAAATTGATAATTTGTGATTTTATCTGTTTTGCATACTTTGTGTTTATAGGTTTAATAAATTGAATTGTTCTTGATTTCAACCATACTATATGAGTGATAGACACTTGATGATTTGTATCTAATTATAATAATATAAAACTGATAAAGTTATCTGGAAAAAAAAAGTAGAATGAAGCATGAATGATCCGAAATATGTATTTGTATTGACATGCATAATACATCAAATGTCTCGTTAGATTTTTTATCTCTGAGGGGTATTTGTTCCCCTTACTCCATCCGGGGTACTTGTTTCCCCCTCCCTCATCTGATTTGAAAAGACATAAGAGAACTGCTCCCTGTGAATGATGACGTACCATCTGACGAGAGTGGTGACGCGAATATCTATTAGAGGTCACTTTTGGATAAGTACTGTCGTGACTATAGAATATCTGATAGGACCACTATGGTTGGTACGATCGTGGTTATAGATCGTATCATGATGTGGGAAGCCGGAAATGTACCTGAGTAAATTGTTGTTATCTGTATCTGATCCGGTCACTCTATATAGGTAGTTGGAAATCTGTATATACTTTCAGAGATGGAAGTCGTAACGGATTCGTGAAGTATGATACGAAAATTTGAGTATTTCATGATTTATTTGATTTTCTCTATTATCTGGTATATTGTGTGTTTGTTCTGATTATATTAACGTGATGTTTTCTCTAATAAATAAATTATTTTCATAAGATAAGATAAGTTTACGAAATAACCAAATAGTAGGTATTTATGTTAGTATGATTCACCTTTAAAAACTTACGATATTATTTAAATATTATTTTATTTACTGAGCAAATAGAACTCATTCTTTTTATGTCCCATCTCAGATGAGAAAGAGAATGAGGAACTGTCAACTAATTTACCAATTAAAATTTATGAGGATCCCGTGGATTCACAAAACTTGAGTGCATGATTGTTCCCACACTCTAATGAGTCTAATAACATAGTAAAAGAAGTGGTCATTTTTTGTATTTTGACATTATATTTTGCAGCCATTTCTGGTTTGAGTTATATGTATAATATTAGAACTCATATATTGTAAGGAATTTGTATTAATTTACTTTGCTGCATATAATTTTTATCATGCACTCGTAATTCTGTTTTTATATCTGACACTCACATGTTTTAACTAGCATTTGAAATATCACATAAACAGTGAAAGTGACAATGGGGATTAGTTGGTCTTCCTTAAATGTTGCTATTTAAGGGGGCTAAGTCCTTAAGGTTCTATGGCTATGCTTGGTACTTGTATAAGGTAGTTGGTAAGGTAGCTAGAGCGTACAATAAACTACCTGTGGGTAAAACTCTTATCCTACTTTATGTTTGGAATTATTGAGTAAGAAAGTAATAATATAGCACAAGATGGATATTGCCTTCTTCTTAATTTATATGAATAAATAGTAGACTCGTGGTCATGATATTGGTGATGGTAGTGGTGATGGTAGTGGTGATGGTGATGCTGGCGGTAATGGTGATGGCTATAACAAGAGTAGCTGTGGCAGCAACAAGGATAACAGTACAGTGGTGATAATGTTGATTGTTGTAGCAGCGAAAGTAGTAGGGATGAGGTGATGGTGGTGACGACAGTGGTAGTGGATGTAGCGATATGACAATAGTGGTAGTAGCGCTGTCAAGGAGGTGGTGGTGGTGGAGATGGGAATGGAAGTCGTGGTGGTAAGTGGCGAATGTGGCAGTGGCAATGGAGGGGGAAGCGGTGGTGGACATGTGCAGTAGCAGTGAGACTAGGGTTGAGGGTGGATGATAACAACAGTGATAATGGTGGCAGTAACAAGGACAATAGTGATGGTAGTGCTGGTGGTGGTGATTGTTGCAACGGCGGTGACGATAGTGATTGGTGGTGATGGCATTGACAGTAATCGGCAATGGCAATGGCAGTAATCGGCCATGGCAATAGCAATAGGGGACCAAGGTTTCAGTTGTGGCGGTGGTGATGGCGTTCTTGTCAAGAGATAGATGTGGAAGGAAAAAATTATTAAAGGTTATTTTAGTCTCTAGTTAGGCAATGTCTTACCCTTCCCATAAAGAAATTTACTACAAAAATTGGATAGAATAGGGCAAGGAGCCTTAAGCGGCCCTTTTGCTACCCTACTCGATGTCCCAAACATAGCCTAAATGATGAAGATGTGGATTCTGTTCTTGAAGCAGAAAGTGGATTACTGATAGATCAGTTGGGGGAAGAATGTTTAAACTATATAGCCGATAATATTTGCAGAAGAATTTGGGAAGCAGTTGGATTTGACTCCCACATTTGAGAAGAACTAGGAAAAGATTGAGCGGAAAAGATTGAGCTTTCTTAGAAAGACTCAAAGCTGGGAAGAAATAAAAAAATTGAGAAGATTTTTTTTTTGAAATAAAAAAGATTGAGAAGGATTTAGACAGAATTTGGATTTAACCCCCAAATTTGAGAAGAAATAACAAAGATTGGGTGGGAGTTGGCTTTATCCCTGATGCTGAAGTTGGCTCACTAATATGATGATTGTTTTTTTTTTTTCACAAAAAATGTACCTGCATAACATCTTAGCATGTTGGATCATCCTTTTCCAACAATAAAAACAGGTTGGATTGTCACTCGTTTATGGTTGCAATGCAAGTGGGGTTATGTTTACTTCTATTATGTCAATATTAATCAATAATGTTGGAATTTGGTTCCTATTAATAATCACAATTATGTCTCATGATCAAGGTTATTTGAGATTTTTTGGTTATATGAGTTTTTCCAATACTTCAATGTTGGGATTAGTTACTAATACTAATCTGATACAAGTTTATATTTTTTGGGAATCAATCAAATGTGTTCTTATTTATTTATAGTTTTTGGTTCACACGACTTATTGCAGCAAATGTTTGTCAAAAAGCTTTTATAACTAGTCATGTAGGGAATTTTGGTGGTCTTGCCATGATACCCCATTGACTGCAAATCTTAAAACGAGGATGCCTCCAACTTCTAAAAAGGAAATTAAGTATGTTTTAAGAGAGTTTGGTCCCTTGATGAGCTATAATCATCTATTAGTCTTTCTTTAATATGACACGTTGAGGAAATATAATCATCATAGTAGACCGGATTGCTTGTTCAACCTGCTAATATTTATATAATTTCACCATACATCAGATAAAAGATGATTAGTATAGGGATGGCGATTTTATATATTTTTAATTATTGAGGTTTTAAACTTTTACATTCAGAAAAAATATTTATACCTTGTATGGGGTATATGCAGTTTTTAACAAAATATTTTGTTGTACTTTCCATGTAATATTTAGCACGATCA